GATGATGGGCTCAAGTATAGCAGGGACTGTGGGGCTGGCGCGGGATCGGGCAGTGTCTCATTCTGCTGAGCATGGGGTCGCTATGAGTCGGAAACGACTCGACGGCACTTAACAAGAACAACAACAATCCAATTCTTACACATACAATCAACATTTTAAAACATGTATTAAATGAAATGATCAGAAAAGTGGGCTCTGGAGTCAGATGTCCTGGGATGAAACTCAAGTTCACCTCCAGAGTGACCCCAGGGAAATCATTTAGACTAAGCTCAGCTTTCTTATATGCAAAATGGAAGAATATTACCAACTTTAATGGGTTATTGTGAGGATTGGGTAATCCATGGAAAATAATAAACTAAGACAATTTCTAAGGATTTAAGAAAAGATACTATTATTACTGACTAGTGAAAACAAGGTACTGTTTTCAAGTACTAGGGATGCAAACATAAAGACAAATAAACCAAGTTCTCTACAAAGAGTTCATGTTCCAACAGGCGGCACTCAACCCTCCCACTGGGTTTCCAAGGCTGTAAATCTTTATGGAAGTAGATTGCCTCATCCTCCTCCTATAGAGCATCTAGTGGGTTTGAATCACCAACCCTCTGGTTAGCAACCAAATGCCTTACCCACCACTGACACCAGAGCTCCTTTAAATTAACATACTCTTGTAAACTGCCATACTTTCTCTTGTAAACTTTTGGATCCTATAACTACTAAGGGTGCCTGAAGGCAAAAGAATAATTAGTTAGCAGAAGTGTGGAATACAGAAACCCTCAACCACTTTTGGTGAGACTGTAAAATGGTATAGCCACAGAGGAAAAGAGTTTGGTAGTTCCTCAAAAAGTTAGAAACAGAACTACCATATGACCCAGCTATTCCAATCCTAGTGAGGTTCAGAATTATTAATTCTCATGGAATAAAGACTTTTGGAGTCTACGGAGGTTGAATGACCCATGTGGGCTATCTTTGAAACTTGAGCTTCAAGAAAACTGATTTCCTAAAGACTGTCTTTAGGTCAAACAATGATTTGGCTCATTTGGTAAAAAACATTTTACCTTGGCATTGTGCTCTTTTACAGGATTATCTTGTGCAATTTCAACAAGCACAAACTCCAAAGGTCAGACTTGAAGCTCTGTCTTAAGATCAATCAGTAATTAACTGTTCTTTAAGACAGTACTGAATGGAACTCTTCATGACCACAAATTGTTCATCAATTCTACTCTGATCCTTTTTTCATTTTGATGTATAATTACTAGACAGGGATTTATAGTAAGATGGAACATTAAAACATGTGGAAAATATTTCTTCTTTGGAACATTGCTGATTCTCAAGTTAAGTGTTGCCGTGATTTGCAAAAGCAAACCAAAAAAACCAAACTCAATGCCACCGATTCAATTCCAACTCATAGCAACCCCCTCTGGGTTTCCAAGGTAGTAAATCTTTACGGAAGTAGATTGCCCATTCTTCCTTCCACAGAGTGTCTAGGAGGTTTGAACCACTAACCTTCTGGTTAGCAGTCAAATGCCTTAGGGACTATGTCACCAGAGCTCTTTGTGATTTGCAAACTGTATATTACATAAACTTCAACCAATTTCTATTATTGGCTTAATACTATTTTTATTTTAACACTAGGTATATGCCCAGAAGTGAAAGCAGGAACATAAACAGAAACCTGTACACCAATGTTCAAGCACTACCTTTCACAACAGCCAAAAGACGGTGTTCTGGTTACCTAGTGCCGCTCTGACAAGAATATATACCACAAATGAGATGGCCTTAACAAACAGGAGTTTTTCTTCCAATTTGGAGGCTTTAAGTCCAAGTTCAAAGTGTCAGGCTCTAGGGGCTGGGTGAAAGCCCCTCAACCTTGGGGTCCAGCTCTGCCTTCTGCTCCCAGCCCAATGAAGCTAGAGGCTTTTCTTCACTCAGACCACTGTTGGCTGCAGAGGCTGAGAAGCCCCAGGGTTGACAAGTAAAAAGGCACACTCCCGGTGTTACCAAACCACATGGCAGGCCATTAACTTAAGTCCATTGTAAGTCCCAAGGTCGGCAGAGCATAGCAGGCTGCTGAGCAACAGCACAGCTACATGCAGGGTCCAAGCATGCCATAGGCTAGAGATCATTCCCAATGCTTCACCTTATATACAGGAAGCAGACCACATCACAAAGGCAGCTACTCAGCTGCTTGTGGTAGATCCCACCCATGGAGCTGATTAGCAGTCTCATCATGGGGAATAACTACCACCACCTGCCCAGCCACTCCACCAGGCCCAGCCAAGTTGACACACAAACATAACTACCACAGATGGAAACAACCAAAATGTCCATCAACAGATGATTGAATAAACAAAATGTAGTATGTATGGATACAGTGGATTATTAGCCATAAAGAGCAATGAAGTCCTGGTGCATGCCACACATGCATGGACCTTGAAAACATGCTGAGGGAAATAAATCAATCTTGAAATGGAAACGACTGTATTATCTCATTTATATGAAAAAAGCACACATACAGAAAGCAAAAAATATTAGTAGTTACTAGGGGCCGGGGGAAAGAGGGAGCTTTTGCTTGGAAGGCACCGAGTTTATGTTACTGCTAATGGAATCATTTGGAAAAGGATAGTGAGAATGGTCATACAATTTGAACAATGTACTCAATGTCACTGAATGATATATGTAGAAATTGTTGAACTGGTATATGTTTTATTGTGCATACTTTAAGGCACTTGACTGCTAACCAGAAGGCTGGCGGTTCAAACCCACCAGCCACTCCTCGGGAGGAAGGCTGGGCAATCTACTTCTGTAGTGATACTGCCTCGGAAACCCGAAGAGGAGTCGCTATGAGTTGGGTCCAACTCCAAGGCACATAACAACAACAACATAAAAAAACTAAATTAAACAAAAGAGAGAACAGGAATTGGGAACAGAATGGATACTGATGAGAGGGAAATGTGACAAAACGCCAGCCCAGAGCCTGTGGAGGAAATCTGTAATAGCATTTAGTACCACACCAGTAACAGTCATATTTGAACATGCTCCTGCCTCTCAGCTGAGAGACAAGTGTTAGTGTTTAGCAGAAAATGTAACATCCCCCCTCAATCCTAGAGAAAACCACAACTATTTTTAGGTATAACTTTGTGTAACGGATGAAAGCTCCCTGTGCTGAAAGCTCCCTGTGCGCAAGTCAGCTTCTCTAAGACTCTGCAGTTACCACAGGCTATTACTGACTCCACATGCTGGTAGGGCCCCTTTCTTGAGTTCTGATCTCTAATGTATCTGGTTTCATGAGGTACTGTTACCATCTGTTTACTCCTGCCTCCTTCACCAGACCTTGAGTTCTTTTATTCCTCTTCACATCTCTTGTATGTAGCACAGTGACTAGTGTAAGTACACGTTCAACAGATGTCTGTTAAAAATTATTAACCAGTACCCAGCATTGTGCCAGATACTATAAACAGAAACATTAAAAACATGGCCCTACCAAAGAATCAGTATCTAGTGAAGAGACAGAGTTGGCAATTTAAATATGAGAAGAGATGCAAAGGAAGAGTGTATCACCAAGTGCAGCACTGAGGGATGGGAAGGCATACTCAGGTGGAATTAAGGGAAGGGATATTGTCCCAGCTCAAAGGAGGAAAACAGGAGAGCCTTGTCATAAATTAGAAATAGCTCTATAAAGGTATACAGAACATATAGCATGTAGAAAAACAATTTAAGAAAAGAAAACATTGGTTGCATAGGTAAATAAATGTAAGTTGAATTTAAAAAGTAATATGAAAAATATAATTGTTAAACATTAACTAAATTCGCCCAAATCAAGTATTTCTAGCTTATCATAAAAATTCTTACCTCCCTGAAATTCCTTTTATTGACCCTGGAATCTCTGGAACAGGCCGATGTCTTAGCAGGAATGATCGGGACGGTCTTGAAACCAACTTGCTACGACTTCTCATAGGTGCTAAGTTTGGTGATGACGGAACATACAAGTCATTTACAACCATTTCTCCTTGAAATTGAAAGAAGGAGATTGGTGGTGATCTTTCTAATAAACCATTAGTTTCATTCTCAGAACTTGCTTCTGATATTGAACAGCCAAGAGAAGAAAGGCATTCAGGATCTGCATTAGGAAGCTTGCTCAGATTTTCCGAGATCAAATCAATTTCTTCTGTTTGTTCTTCTTTGATGGCACAATCCACAGTCTTCTTTGTAACCAGAGATTCTGTTTGAATATTTTCACCACCAAGAAACGAATGTTGAAAAGAACCCAAATTCAGGTGTGGTTCTTTTCCTGGAATGGCAAAGTTGTACACAGGAAAAGGCAATTTATCATCTGATTTAAGACATCTGTTACTTTCCACACTAACATCACTTCGATCAATTGTAACAGTCTCCAACTTCACTGGGCTCCCAGTATGAATGCTACCTGAATCTGAAAGCTCTATGCAGGTATTCTGATCAGAAGACAGAGCATGGCTCTCCTTTGACGCCTCCTCATGCTTCTTTGCTTTATGAACATTTGCATATATTGGAATATCTTGCATTTTTGATAAGATTATCTGTAACTGTTTAAGTATCCTCCTACGGTGTCCTGTAGGTGATATTCCAATTTTGTGTAGCAGGCTGTCATTTATTGCTGCACAGTCCTTAACAGTATTCAGACCAAAGTCACGGAAATGTGAGAGATACTGCTCCAAATTAATGCTCATTAGGAAATCTTTGATATCAACATTTATTTCACTGACTGAGGTCATAATGGTGGCTTCATTACTAAATTGAGTTACAGAAAAACAGCACAGTGAGACACACGCAAGAGAATGTACTTTCAAGTACTGGTTCTTCCTCTATCATTTGTGACAGAAAAATTTCTTAAAATGTTTTCTCCACAGTCACCTTTTTATGTGCTTAAGCCTGGAAACAGAAAAAAAAAAAAAAGGAGAGATAATTAATAACTAGATTAAAATCTAGTTTTACGTTACATTTACATTCTCTGAAGAAACACAATAAAAACTAAGGTAACAACTTTCATTCGCTAAGATCTTAGAATTTGATTGCATTGCTCTGTATGCCCTAGAATGCCAATCCTAGGTGTAGCGCTGAGGCACAGAACAGAAATGTAAACGTACTACAAAATATGATTTTCAACAAGGTGAAGTAAAAAAAAGGCTCTCGAACAAATATAAAATGAACTGAACATGTCAAAAATTCAGCTCATTAATTAATAAGGGAACCAGTAACGTGGTAAAGTTGATTCTAAGAGAATTTGTGGAACAAGTTTCTGTAGCCCATCAGGAAAGGCATTTTTAAAAGAGTGCATGTGGGGGGAACTGTTAGCATAAGACTACTAGATTAGGTTTTGAAAACTGGTTAATTTTCTACAGGGCAATAAAGCCACAACCTCTGAGGTTACTTTTTCCAAAGCAAAAATCTACAAGATAATAGGTAACTTCACAATGAGCTCTAACCAAACAGTAAGTAGCAATGTCAAGCACAGGCATTAGATTTAAAAGCAAATACCCCGTGGATGGGCCTGTTAAATAATACCACCAATAAGGGCCTGTTAAATAATACCACCAATAAGGCATTGAAAGAACGGGCTGTATATTCTTTGGATTTTCAAGTTTTGTTGTTGTTGTTAATTCAAGTTTTAGATCATTTTTTTTCAATATAAATATTGAACATATAAACATTTTCCTTTTTACTATATTTGCTTTCAAAGACTCTATTAACAAGTAGTAAGTATACCCACCAGGAGCAAAGAAGATGAAGGAAACCAAAGACTCAAGGAAGCAATCAGTCCAAATGGCTATGGCCCACAGGGCCCACAGCCTCCTCAAGCCTGAGAGCAAATTAATGAGATGGTGCCCAGTTACCACTACCAACCATTCTGACCAGGGCCACAAAAGGAGGTCCAGTGTAGAATGGAGAAAATGTCCAACAAAATCCAAATTTATGAAAAGGACCAGACTTACTGGTCTGTTACAGATTGGAGGAACCTCCAGGAATGTTGTCCTAGAGCCACTCTTCTAACAGGAAAATGAAGCTACTCCCAGGGCCTACCTCTCAACTAAATAACAGACTGGCCTATAAAATAAACAATAACACCTGTGAGGAATATGATCGACAGAACAATCAATTATACGACACCAGAAGGGCAGCATTCACTCCAAAGCATAGGTGAGAAGGCAGGGAGGGACAGGGAAACCAGATGAATGGAAACAGGGAACTCAAGAAGCAAATGGGGAGAACACTGACACGTTGAGGAGCCTGCAACCAGTGTCACAATTTGTACATGAATTATTGAATAGGAACGTTGCTGTGTAAACTTTCACCTTGTCGATTCCAACTCACAGCAACCCCCATCGGGTTTCCAAGGCTGTAACTCTTTACAGAAGCAGACTGCCTCATCTTTCTTCCAAACCGCCCACTTTTTGGTTAGCAGTCAAATGCCTTAACCACTACACCATCAGAGCACCAGGGCCTGTAATTTTCACCTAAAGCACAATAAAATGTTACCCCCAAAAAAAAAAAAAAAAAAATGAGAATTAGTATACATTGCTCTGGAGTCCCTAGGTGATGCACACAGTTAAGTGCCTGACTACTAGCCAAAAGGTTGTTCATTTGAACCCACCCAGAGGCGCATGTTGGGTAGATAGCCCTGGAAATCTGCTTCCCAAAGGTCAAAGCCTTGAGAACCTTATGGAGTAGTTCTAATTTGCACACAAGGGATGCCATGAGTTGGAATCAGCTCACTCAACAGCAACTAACAACAGCATATATTTCTCATCAATAGTTTTCACTGGAAAAAAGCAGGAGTGTTACATGTAAATAATTAGTACTGATATGCCAGATAAGACTAGTTGAATAATTTGTTAACTTTTACATACATTAGATAACAGTAAATAAGCCAATATGAAAGTAAAAGTAAAAAGTTTAAAGGTCACATTCCCTTCCAATGTACACAGCAGATTCATACAGATTCATCATTCCCTCAATCAGCACTTTAAAAAAAAGGTTTGTGGTATCTGGGTACCAGTTACATAAGTATGTTCAGTTTTTTTTAAAACGCAGGTATATTTTTCTGTATAAACCAAAAAAAAAAAAACTCACAGCAACTCCTCCCTGGATTTCCACGGTGGTATCTCTATGGAAGTAGATTGCCCAGGCTTCCCAGTCTTCCTTCTGAGGAGTGGCTGGTGGGTTTGAACCACCAGCCTTTCTGGTTAGCAGTCAAATGCCTTAGGCACTATGCCACCAGAGCTCCTTTTTTTTTTTTTTAATATGAAGAAAAAAATACAGAATATGCATAATACCCATAAAAGGAAGTAATAAAGTAGGACACACCCAGAACAAGGTAAATGTCTCTGAGTAAGTTTTGATACAGGGTTTCTGGACTCAAATCTTCAAACGCCCTCCACAAAGCACAGCTCTGCCTCTGCACATGCTATGTGCCAATCATTCCTAAGTGGTGTCTCAACTATTTGAAAACATCAGCAAATATTGACAAGCAGGTATAAATGACAAGAGGGAAAGCATGTATCTTCTTCTGGCAGCACTGCAAAAGCAGAAAAATACAAATACTACAAACAAGAGATGAACGGCAGAAAATGCCTTTGTCAATAAGGTATTCCTGTGTTACAACCTAACTGCTCCAATGTCAATAGAAGAAAAAGACCTCAATGCCATATGCAAACCTAGTTCTCAGACATACCACTATCTTTCTACACAATTATTATGAAATAAATATATTCCCTAATTATTTGCACATCATAAAATGGAAATAATTATGACCAGCAGGACAATAAGCGATTGTCACACAGCACCTACAGAGTCAGAGCTATGCCCTTTGGGGAGCATCTGAAGATGTGCTTTCCAGAAATACTGTACCAAAGCTTGTTCACAGACATGATGTGCATTGATTTGGGGGTGTCTCATTTTATTCACCCGCTTCAGATTTTAAAACATGTTGAATGGCCAATTATTTAAAAGATTGTTTTTGTTGTTGTTGTGGTTATGTGCCCTCGAGTCAGACCCAATTCATAGCGACCCCTCCTTGGGTTTCCAAGGCAGTGTAACTACAATGTAGATTGCCCAACCTTCCTTCCAAGGAGTGGCTGGTGGGTTTGAACCACCAGCCTTCTGGTTAACAGTCAAGTGCCTTAGGCACTATGCTACCAGAGCTCCTAATTAAAAGATTAGGAAAAATAAATAAATGAAAGATTAGGATCTCCTCCTTTTAGGTACAACAACTTATAAAAGCTACATCTTGTTTACCAGCCTCCACAAACACTTTACAAAGGATTAATAGAACAAAAATAAATTTAACAAAATATACCAATAAATGACCTATTCCTTTTAGAGTCCCTACTGCAGGTACTACCACTCACTCAAGCCTAAAGCCTCAAGGGCATCCCTGAGTCCTCTCTTGAGTTACCCACGAAGCATGCTTCTAGTTTTACCCCTACATCCTCACTGCCCTCACCATGGCTCAACCCCTCATTACACCTCTTGCCTGTGTTACCATTAACAGTGTCTGAACAAATCTCCCAGCCCAGTCTATGATGTATCAATGCAAAATTGGAATGTCCCTCCATACACTCAGTACAACAATCTTTTTAGTTTCCTAACATGGCATACCACAATCTGGTCTCTTCCTGACAATAATAACAGCAGCTAATATTGATGTGGAAGCTCTGGTGGTGTAGTGGTGGAGTCCCTGAGGCATTTGACTGCTAACCAGAAGGCTGGCAGTTCAAACTCACCAGCCACTCTTTAGAAGGAAGGTTGAGCAATCTACTTCCGTAGTGATACTGCCTTGGAAACCCAAGAAGGGGTCACTCTGAGTCGGATCTGACTTGCAGTAGTGAGTTTTTTGTTTTTTTGTTTTTTTTTTTAATATGGACGTAAATAGCAATTATGTGTCAGACAGCACATTTCATACACATTTCCAGCAAGCTAGTTTCTCCAGCTTCATGTTCAACCCATGCTAAACACTACCAACATTCTTCACTCTTCTAGTTCATTATTGTTAATTAACATTCCTCTGGGGCAAAGAGCTATTTAACAGCCCATACCTTTTGCTTTTGCTGCATCTACTTCCAAAATCTACAATTCTGCAAAATCCTACGCATCATTTAAACTGAACAGGCAGGTATTACCTCTTCCTGAAGGTTTTCTATTAAGCCCTGAAAGCAGAATGAATCACTAATTTCTGCTTATAGTTCTATAACCAGTACCCTAGAACTCTGCACAGTGCTTAGAACATTAATGCTTAAAAAACTGGAGAAAGGCTGGTAGGGATGGCAGAGGTGGTTGTGAGGGTCATTTTCTTAGTATTTTAGGTATGTGTGCAGGAGTATGCTTTTGTGTTTTAATACACAAACCTTTCAAAAGGAGCATACTTCTTTTTCAGTATGCTCCTAAGTTTCCTTGAATCAAGGATGGATACACAAACGCTCTGCCCAAAGCTATCCCTCTCTACCATTCACCATGCTGAATATGGCTAATTCAATCTGATTCCTTTTCATGGCATTTAAGAAGTCCCCTCCCACTGGCCCTGCAAACTTGTGTGCTTTAATGTCAGCTTTCTTGTCCCATCACCTAACTTTTTAAGAGAATGACTACCTAAGCATGTTCAGAGACCCAGTTCTTTTCCTTAGAGGTTTGTAGCTCTCATGCACATGAACAGATATTAGGAGATGGGCAGGCTTAACTCTAAAATCGTAACCATGTGCAAACTCCTTCATATGAAATT